CATATTTAAACGACTCCACAAATGTATTCGATTTACACCAAGAGTAAATAACCAAGAAACTTGAGTTTTAAGATAAACTCAAAACCAATAAAGAAAACTACAAATATGACAGATCATAAACCATGAAAAGACAAAAAAATATGGGTTTTAAAATAAAATTTCAACTGTTTACCCTCTTTCTTGTCCAGAAACTCGGATTAAGGTTGAATTAATACATGTATATATATTTCAAAAAAACCTAAGAACATATTAATTCAAAATATATTATACAGTGCAATTTGGACAGCCTAACCCCAAAAATATAATATATATATATATATATAAATCGTAAATATTAAAAATATTTTTTCACAGTATATATAATATATAATAATATAATTAAGTCAAAAACTATTCAATATTGGACTCATTTCAAAGGTATTAACGAGACGATTATAATGGTGTAACTTGTTAAAATAACAATGTATTTTTTAAACATATTTTAATTGATATACGATTATATATGTTAATTTGATAAAAGTTTAAAATAAAACATTTAAAAGTAAATGACGTAAAGTAAATTAATTAATTAATTATAAAGGTATAAAGTGTAAATTTAAAATTATAATTTTAAAAAAATCGGTTGTGAGAAGATGAGTGTATGTGAGGGGGTGAGTGGATGAAAAAGTGAGTATAAAGAGTATTTTGGTCATTCAAAATTTTAAGACTTTAAGACTTTTGCTAAATTTACTTAATAAGATAGTATAGATAAAAAAAGGCTAAAAAATCAACACTTCGACATGGGTGGTGTTCATGGTGCGATTTACAGGCAAAACTACAACTGAAAATTTTCACAAACCCAAAAACCAAGCCGGACATGCTTCAAATCAGAGATGGAACACAAATAGACCGAATCAGCAATAGTGGAGGGGTCCAAAAGAATTTTATACTTAAAATCTTAATAGATTGGAGATGCTTCATTCTATCGGGGAAAAAAACCCAGGGGCCAAGACCCCTATGGTCATCCGCCTCTGCTCCCAATCATGAAATCTTGCATCACAAAATGCAATGTGGTTTACGCAGTTTGTACATAACTATTAAAGATCATAACTTTATGTGTACGATCCAACATTAAAAAGTAGAGGTCCACCCTGAAGTTGTGTTTGGTACGCATGTTACATGAGACGGAATGAGATAAAAAAAAATTAGTCTCATCATAGGCGGACCTAGTTAAGTGCCATGGGTGGCACGTGCCATCGTATCGTTTTTCCGCCGAAGGGTAAAAAATTTAGGTTTCGTGAACGGTGCAACCGTATTAATTTGTTGTGTGCCACTATATGCATTTTGAAACTACAATGAGAACAAGTTTTATTTGATATAAGTTGGTTTGCAAGGCTTTTATTCTACCCCACACCCAAGTCCGAATCATGTTAGTGTCATTTTCTTAGTCAAACGGTGCCACCATTTGAAAAATATTTCATATATTTTTTTTCTTATGGTCAAATGGTGCCACCGTTTAAAAAAAATTATAGGTCCGTCCCTGAGTCTCATGTTTGGCATAATACGGAACAAGAATAAGGTGTGACAAAAAGTTATTTTATCGGAACAAAAACATGGTTTTCTTTTTTCCACCAAAAAAGGTGAAACAATAGGGACAAAAACACTAAATTACCATCTTACCCTCGACCCTACTCCTAAATTACAAACTACCTCTAGACACCGGTAGACCTAAGATTTTTGCTAAGCAAATGCACCTTTACGTTGTGTTTGGAGTTTTTTTTTTTACCAAGGAAAAAAGGAAACGGGAAGAAAAATACGGGAAAAGAAAAAGCTGTCGTGTTATCGATGGAAAAGAAAATAAATGGAAATAATACTGATTTTCTCACAAATATATGATTATAAAAATTTATAAAATCACACATATATCTGTAAAAACATCTTCCATTTCCTTTTCTATTATGTTAAAAACATGAACACTTAGGCCTTGTTAGTTTTTCATATAAAAACTTTTATCAGTCCCTTATGTCTGAATTGTTAATAGGTAAGACCATTCAAACTGCTTTATTTTTTCAATTTTTAAAAGACACTTATGTCTTATTTTTCTCTTATATAGTAAGAGGTAAACTAACATCTTATTTGCCATTGTTCTTCAAATCATCAACAACAACGTTTCTCAACCGACCATTTATCGCAATAGATCTTTACCAAATCAATCATCACCTCTCTCAATTAATATATTTTAATATGATGTAAATGTGTTAAACACCGTTAATGACATATTTTATTTTGAATGAATGTTAATTATATAATTTAGCTGTAAAGTCCGTAATGATGATGAATAAATATGTGAAATCGTACAAATTTATCTATTGATTCAGATTTCAGACTTCAGACGTTCATCGGTTTACAAAAACAAACAATCTTATTGATTCAGATTTCAGACTTCAACACCACCTCTTATAAATCAGAAGTGAAATAAAACTTCAGACTTCATTGTTTCTTAAAAAACAAACATCACCTTAATTTTTTCTTCGTTTTCATTCCATCTCAACAATACATACAAAAAAATTATTTCATTCTCTTTCTTTTCTTTTACTTTATTTTTCGTTCCTTTTTCTTCTTTTATTTTCCTTTCAAATTTGAGAACACAATGTTAAGGTAGATCAAAGGTATACAAAATCATTCGACAAGTTTTAGCTGAATTCCACCGTTTCGAGGGAATTTCAAGTTCTTTTTTATGATTTTGAGGGATTTTTCCCCTTTTTTGGTTGATTTCAAGACCCTTTTGATTTTTTTGATTGATTTCACGGGAAAATTATAGATCTCACAATTGGACGGTAAGACTAACATCACCTGCTACAGATGCCCGAAAGTCGATTCCAAGCCGGGCCATGACGGTCCCAAATCCGTCCCTTAAAGATCGGGCTGATCGTCCCCGATCTTGACTACAAATCCTCTGACTGATCCTAGGCCCGATAACTGATCCCGGCCCAAATCTGGTTCTGGACCCGACCCAATTTTAATTCTTTTTACGTTTTTTTTTACATAAAAAACGTATTGATGTTTTTTTAACTACAATTTTTTAAATTCAATATTGAAATACATTTTAAATAATGTATTTAAACTTTAAAATTTTGAAGAAAGATCTTGAATACTAGTATTATAATTAATAAAAAAATTAAAAATTAAAAAAATCAGTCGGCTTCTAGACCGGACCTTTAAATTCCATAATTTTTTCTAAACAAACTAAGAGACTGTTTGACGGTTGTTGAATGATTTGGTGTAGAATGATTAAATGGTCAGAGTGATTAAGAGACTCTCATGATATAGTGTAAAATGAAATATAATTGTTCAATAATTGTTTACAATGGAATTAGAGCGCTGAATGGTTAAGGGAGACCCAAGATACAAAATCATTCACAGGGTTTTAAAACCATTAAAAGACATTTTTTTTTTGCTAAACAAGATTCATCTCTTAACGATTCAGATGCTGTCTCTTAATAGAACTATTAAGAGGTAAACAAACAACCACTAAAACCATTTGACCATAACCGGTTCTTACCGATCTCATTTGGTCCCAAGCCGAACTTGTCCCAACTGGGCCATCTATACCCCCCGGCCCACCCAAATACTCCCCACTAAACCTATGACCCGGCCCGTGACCCGGCCCAAGATCTAAATCGAAATTCCATTATTCAGCTGAGGAGCGCTTAGATCTCAAATTCAAAATTTCAAAATTTGGGGGAGCATCTCGTCCCTTTCTCTCTCTACTGGCTAACCCTAACCCTGATCTTAACGTTCCATTTCCCCCCAAATCGAACACCAAATTATTTGAATTTCTATCAATCTTTTTTTCGCCCAAACGTCCGTATCAGTTTGATTCTCATCAATTTGGTGTAATTTCAAGTGTACATTACAAAATCCTCCATCTTCAACTGGTGTTGAAGAGCGAGAGTGAATCAATGGCTTCTCGGAACCAAAACAAGCCTCCTGCTCCACGCAGTCCTTTAAACGTAAGCACACATCTTTCTTATATGTGTTTGTTTGTGCTTGAGTTGGAGATTATGATTCCAATATTGAACTCGTTTGTTTTGTGTTATTTACGTTTTGAATATCATTGAGTTCTCTTAGATTTACCGAGAAATTGAGCTGTTTCGATGGTGTTTTTGGGTTTGTGCTTGAATAATGTAAAACTTAGAATGTCGTACTGTAATTGGTAAAATATTTGATTTTGTACTCTTGGATAGCTTGTTAAAGTTGATGTAGAATTCTGTAGTGATTGGGTATATGATGCTAATATTACAAAGGTAAATGGATCATATGAGCTACTCATCCTTCTAGTATCTTGAAGTTGAATATTGTTTTTTATTTTTTTATTTTGTTCATATGTCATCCAGTCATTGTAGATGCTTATCTAGAACTTGAACGTTTTCAAAACTGGTCGAAGAAAAGTATACATGGAAAATTGCCTCCTGTGACTTCTCTGTCTGAGTGTCTGATCAACATTAAGTCATTGTTTTTTTTTTCCTTGCAAATTGACAAAAGCAATTGATGATATGTGAGGAAAGATGATGCTCTAATCACTGGTAGCGGCTAGTTAAAGCTTAGTCTTTCTCATTGTGTTGTTAAGCTACCCATGCATTGTGAAATTTTCCTCCCTTATGGACAGCATGTTGAAGCTTCAAAGATGTTTTTATTAATATCAAGTTAATCATATGACAATGCTACATGAGTTCATGCTTTTACATATGAACTATGATCAGTATATGGTGGTTTTGATGCGGAAACATTAGCTTTTTTGGTAGTTTGTTAAACTAAAGTGCTTTCACACTTCAATGCTCAAAAGTGTTTGAAGTCTTGATGTATCACTGAATTTCATGTATAGAAGGATGAAGGGCTGCTTAATTGCACCACACAGACTTCTTTGGCAATTGGGATTTAGAAGTTGGATGATGATATTATATTATTTGTAAATTGTAATTTACTTCATATGTGAAGATGCTGCTTGGGATTGAGTTACTGTTTTTGATCACATGCCGAGTATTTATGGCATAATTCTAGATGTCACATAGTGATCGGTTAACTTAATGAGAAAGGGCGGTGCTGGATATTTTGATTATGCATACAAATTCTGTTGCACAATGCTCATTTTATTTTTTCTTTTGTCCTCAATTTCTGGGTGACATGCAAAGATCCTCACATCATGGAAATGGCCTTTATTAAAACCCAAAAGGTGAAAAGAAATTGGCTAAGCAAATTGTTGTTCTCATTTCATGCTTGAATAACGTAATTAAGTTAGTTACATTTGACTAAGAATGTCTCTTTGCACCATGTTTTGAGTAAATCCTGTGTGTTGAATACAGATCCCTTTAAGGGTTTTTGTTTTCTGTTACTGATGTGTATTGGTGATGTACATGCAGAAAAATCGAGTTGTTGATGAAGCTCCTTTTGATAAGCGTAGGAAAATTGGCACTGGTAGGATGATGGCCTCAACCACTGCAAGTCGGGGAAGGCAAGCACTTGCCCCAATGAACAACCAAAAGGACGTTGCCGTAGCACCCTCTGAAACTGAGGGGTCTGAGTGTGAAAATATTGAATTTACAAAGGAGGAGGTGGATGCACTATTGAATGAGAGATTTAAAGGGAAAAAGTTTGATTCAAAGGTCTGACTTTTGTTATGTCATCTTATGCTGCAATTCCAGACATAATGCATATTGAGTTGCAGTGACCATAGAAAGAAACAGTATTTGTGCAATATTGGTGTTGCGATTCGTTTGTTCTTGAGGACTAATGTTATCATGATGTGTTTTAACTATGTCTTGGGCATCTTCTTTTGTATTTCCAGGGAAAACAGGAGTGGATGACAGAGTATATGAAAAAGCTGAAGTTTTGTATAAAATGGTTTCAAAAGGTCTTAGAAGACCTCGCCGAGGAAAAGGATAACTTGCGTAAGATGCTGGATTCTTCAGAAAAAAAATGCATGGAAGCAGGTTGTGTCCTTTGACTGAAGGTTAAAGTCATGTCATTTTAATACACAAGAAATAATTTCATGCTGACAATCTTTTATTTTTATTTACAGAGGCTGCAATGAAGAGTAAGGAAGAAGAGTTGAACACAGCAATTTCTAAATTGGAAACAAATATTTCCTCTTTGAAAGAAAGCTTGGCAAATGAAGAGTCTGAAAAAATTGTAGGGCTTCAAATCTAACAGCTCTGTGGATCTCATTAATCTTCTCCGATTGTTTCTTTATCTCTAATCTCTTGTATACATTCCTTAGAATGCCCTTGAGTGTCACAAGACAGAAAAAGAAGCCAGGATGGCTTCCGAAAAGAATCAAGATTTCTTAAAGGAAGAGCTTGGAAAGGCTGAGCAAAATGTATTGAAAGCTAATGAAAAGGTAATAAAAATAAGTGAAAAATACACAAAATTTGGTTCTGATTTCAGATTGTTTAGTCTTTGGTTTCCTCTGCTATTTCATTTTCAGGTGAAAACTCAAGAAGACATGTACAAGAGGTTGCAAGAGTACAACACAAGTTTGCAACAGTACAATACCAAACTTCAAAATGAACTTAAGGCAGCCACTGATGCAAACAAACAAGTTGAAAGAGAGAAAGCTGCAATATTGGAAAACCACAGCACCTTAAGGGGTCACTATAACTTGCTGCAGAAGGAGTTTACTTCTGCCAAAGTAAGCTTTTCCCTCATTTTTCTCTTATACATATCAATTGTGTCACTTAAAATATGGCAATCCTGATGCTTTGAGATAACTCAACTTTGCAAGGACTATGGTTGAAGTCTTCAAGTCTAGAATTTGACATGCATCAAAACTTCCTTAGTTTTGTTTTATAATTTTAAACGACTATTTCTGAAAGTTCAATATGAAAAGTGAGTGAAATATATTGCTAGTGTGCGATTCCACTTGTTTGACAACAATCATTTGATAGAGTCATACCTTCGTTCTCCTATTAGTTCTGAACCATTGTGCTTACATATGAGAGGTAATACAAAAACAGCTTAATTTCGTTTGACCTCTACTAACAGCTTGAGTTCAGCTACAATGCAGATGGAATTTAACAGCAGTTCAGTTAGAATGCGGATGGACTTAAATACCTTGATCCCAATGTGCCAAATATCAATATCCATGATAGTGTCATTTATTTAATAGCAAGTAATTGGTTAAAAACATACTAGTTGTTTTTTGGCTGTCTTATAACTTGGTAGAATAAGCAAGTAAGGTCTCACACTTTCTTAGCTTGCAATTTGACCCTGCTTTTCAAATGTTGTAATAGGATTCTCGAGATGATGCCATGAAGCAAAAAGAAGCTGCAGTGAAAGAAGTTGACATCCTCAGAGGGGAGTTGCAGCAAGTAAGGGAGGATCGTGAGCGACAATTATTACAAGTGCAAGGGTTAACTTCTGAACTTATAAGGTTCAGAGAAAGTACCGGGCGCACTGCCGCTGAGGTCGATAGTTTGCACTTGAGGTCAACTGCTTTGGAGGTTTGTTTGCCTTTTATTCAACTGATTAACCTCTCATTTTATGTACTCTCCCCGTCTCAAAATAACTGTCTGCATTTTTATTCTAGAATTCCAAAAATAAGTGCCATCTTTCCAATTCTACCCTTAATGAGACGGCATAATTCATTACTCCCTCTATTATTAAGGGTAAAGTTGGTTTTTAGTTAATTAAAAAGCGTACATTTCTAAAACTATGTGCTTTTTTCATTGTGGACATTCATTTTGTGAGTGAGAATCTGTTGTATGATGGCAAGATGTTAATGCTTTCACTTCTTTTTTAGGAAACTTGCTCATCTCAAAGAGAGCAAATATCGGTACTGCAACATCAGTTAGCGGCTGCGAATCAAAAGCTTAAGGTGCATGTTTCTTTGGCTTCATCTGTGTCCACTGTGTCATTAAGGTTCTTTAAAAGCCATTTGCTTATTCTATATTTCCATTTAGATGGCTGATTTATCGTCATCAGAAATAAGGACAGAATACGAGGAGCAAAAACGTATTGTCTCTGAGTTACAAGATCGTTTGCGGGATTCAGAAACTCAACTTCTTGAAGGGGAGAGATTGAGGAAGAAACTCCACAACACTATTTTGGTACTCTTTTTGTCATCCAACACTTAGCTCTAGGCAAATAACTTAAGTTTCAAGGTTCATTTGGGCTTGACGGTCTTTAATTGCAGGAGCTGAAAGGCAACATCCGAGTATTTTGTAGAGTCCGGCCTTTGCTGCCTGATGATGGCCCTGGAGCAGAAGCCAGTGTCTGTTATCCCACTTCAGTAGAATCAGCTGGCCGAGGAATTGATCTAGTTCAAAGTGGTAAGGGTTCATTCTGATGGGTTTGCCAGCTTGTTATAAATGTGGACAAATTAAAATTGTTAACAAATTTGAACTTTAAACATCATGTACTTTATAGACACCTTTGTTCATATTGGTATCCTTCTCTTTTGTTGGACAATGATCACATCTTTCAATTCTACAGGCCAAAAGTATCCTTTCACGTTTGACAAAGTGTTTGCGCATGATGCATCTCAGCAAGAAGTCTTTATGGAGATATCACAGCTAGTGCAGAGTGCACTCGATGGATATAAGGTTATTAGTTTTGCATTCTGCAAACTTAATGGCTACTAGGCTTTTTTTTTCAATAGTTTTTGCTGTTTTCATGTGAAAATAATTCTTCTTTTTAATGTGAAAACTAAGGAATTGTTACTTATTTCTAGCTTTGACTGTGATCAGTTTTTTTAAAGTTATGGTCTGCTAGAAATGTGTCTGGTTTTTCAGCGTTGAATACGGTTTTAGATTTGAATAAAATTATAATCATCTCACCCTTGAATTACTTTAATCATTCCAAAGGCAACAAGGACCAACTTCTATTGTACTTTTGGTATGCATCCCCACTTGTTATTAATCCCTCCATCTCAAAATAAGTGTCAACTATCAAAAGAAAGTGCCTATCTGTTAATTCTATCCCATAATTATGAGATGAAGAATTTGATTACTGCCTCGATGAAGGTAAAATTGTCATTAAGTTAATTAAAAGTGCGATAATTACATATTTCTAAGACTGTATGCCTTTTTTTATTGTGGACATTTTTTCCTGGAACAAAGGGATGTAATAATTACTGGTATATCCGTTCATTGTTTGTTTTCTTTTGTATCATCAAATAAACTCGGTATAAAGTATTCATTTGTATTTAACAGGTTTGCATTTTTGCATATGGGCAAACTGGCTCTGGTAAAACATACACAATGATGGGTAGACCCGAAGCTCCTCAGCAGAAGGGTCTGATCCCACGCTCTCTAGAACAGGTCTTTCAAACAAGTCAGGCCCTAGCCGCCCAGGGCTGGAAATATAAAATGCAGGTTATATATTCTTCTTCCTATTGTATATGAAACACACACAAGAAAAAAAACATGTGAAACAACTTGAATCCTAGCTTTAACTGAAACTCATTAAATGGTTTGGATCGGTTCTCACGATATTTTTTTGGTTTGCATTTGATTTCCCTTCGTATGTATATAAATGTCTCTTTTGAAATTATTATATACAATACACTCTTGAGGTCATGCCAACATTCCGGTATAAATACTATACTGATTGTAGGGTGTGATCATGGAGCTTATCGTTACTATTTTTCTCAACATGTCTAGGCTTCTATGCTGGAAATCTACAATGAAACAATTCGTGATTTGTTGTCGCCAAGATCAAGTAGTGGAGATGTTTCACGTACAGAAATTGGTGGTGCAGGGAAGCAGTATGTCATCAGGCATGATGCAGATGGAAACACATATGTTTCTGATCTCACCATTGTTGATGTATGCAGTATAAGGGAAGTTTCAAATCTTCTTCAGCAGGCTGCACACAGCAGGTATATATATACTGTATATTGTGACAACTCAGCTCCACAATTTTGAAGTATATAATATTTATATACAGAAAATACTCACCACACTCCTCACTTTTTAGTGAGGCTTGAACCCTTGACCTCCATGGAGGCTAGGATCTACAAGTAACACGAATACCGTTTGGCCAATGACCCTTTGGTCTATTTTTTACATTTTCTGTCTTGTGGGGTATTTTTTTGCGTCTCCGGGAGCATTTATAGTAATGTGTAGTTGATGTTCGGACATGTGACTTTGTGGGGAATGGGGATCATGTGATAATTTAGTGATGATTGTAGATTATATGGGGTGCGTTTGGAATGCAGGATGAGACAGGACATAACATAACCATTTGCTGTCCCACATTTGGCGTGACATTAGACTGGGACAGGATAAGACAGACAAAAATGCATTCTTTTTTCCACCAGAATAGGTGGATCAAAAGTTAGGGAGATGGGACAAGATAGGTATATGACTAAACATCCCATGTCAATTTGAAAGTCTGAAATCTTCCACAATTCTTTCAAGTTTCTCCCGCCTACCTCTCTCTCGCCCGTCCAGCCTGAGTCCTGTCCATGGCCGTCTGTATACCAAACACACTTAGAGTTTAATGACCTTTAGATGAACTGGGCTCTATCATACTGTGGCCTGGACTTGGCTGCTTCTGAACACAAATAGGATGATTTCAAGAGTTTTGGCTGCTGAGTTTATATGATCTTATGAGTTCTGCTTGTTGATTATGTTTATTCATCACCCAGGTCTGTTGGGAAGACTGATATGAATGAGCATTCTTCGAGAAGTCACTTTGTATTCACATTAAGGATTTATGGAGTAAATGAGGTAACATATTACTCCCTTCGCTCTAAAATAAGCATCCACATTTCTATTTTACTCTGTCCCACAAAAAGTGTCCACTTAACCTTGTGGGGGTTAGGGTTAGCTCAATTGACAATAACGCTTGAGCTTTTGGGATTCTCCTTAGAGTTCACCAATTTGAAATCCTGTATGGCCACTAGGGATTTTCCTGGCTGTTTCTCCAGGCCTCTGAGATCAGTTGAGGTGCACGCAAACTAGCCCAGACACCCATGGTTAAAAAAGTGTCCACTTTAAAAATAAGTGCATACTTTCCGATTCTACCCTTAATCATGACATGACAAAAATTCATTACTCCCTCATTATTAAGGGTAAAATTGTCATCAAGTTAATTAAAAATGTAATACTTACACATTCCGAAAACTGTCTTTTTCATTGTTGACATTTGTTTTGGGACGAAAGAAGTAAAAAAGCTGTTGAAAGCATGTTTGATAACTCAACTATATTGACACACTTCCTTGTGTTGGTAGAGCACCGAGCAACAAGTTCAAGGCGTTTTAAATCTTATTGATTTAGCGGGAAGTGAACGACTTTCGAGAAGTGGAGCGACAGGAGAACGATTGAAGGAGACTCAGGTCCAAACTCGAAACTTCTGATTGACGTTTTTTACGTGGAAACGACACGATAATGTTTATTTTTTGTGCCTTTTATGTATTCAGGCAATCAACAAGAGTTTATCTTCGCTGAGTGATGTTATTTTCTCTTTGGCAAAGAAGGAAGATCATGTTCCATTTAGGAATTCAAAGCTTACATATCTTCTTCAGGTATATCCATTCTGAAAATCCATCATGTTTATTGGAAGGTTGTCCCGGGCTATGCCGAGACTAATTTCGGCAAATTATGACCGTAAGACATCAACTTTGATAAACTTAGTGACCACAATTGTGTGGACGCCTGGAAACCTATGGCAAATGGGATATTCCACCACATCCCGTGGGCCTCAACCATTACGTCACAACCCTTGTGATATTTGAGTAAGATCTGAAAATGAATCATGTCTAGGTGACATAGATATCGATCTAGTTATTTTTTCTAATTTTTTAAAAAAATTATTTTTTGATGAACTTTTATTATAATAACCAACCACTAGGGTTGTGGAGCTCTGGTTAAGGCTCACGGAGATGTAGTGGAAATCTCATCATCACCTGGTTACGCTAAATTAGAGATTTTGGAGATTTTAGAGATTGACTTTTAATAATTTATTTTATAAAGATTACAGCATAGCTGTTGGAGATGCTCTTAAATGACCTTTTATGAAAGTCATTTTTAAAAATGATTCATTGGTTTAAGTTGCTCATTTTTTAAAATAGCGAGCACGATCTTCAATTTTTATAGCTTTACGACTTTCATCTGATCTGCCTCTAGCTCAAAATAGTCTTCTTCCATAAAAACTTAGAAATACACTATAAGGTCATTTTTGCAAAACGAGCTTCTAGAGAAGGTTTTCCTGGCTGAAATAGCTTTTTTCATGTGATATAATACAAGCTTTAACTTTTATTCCGTTTGTAGCCTTGCTTGGGTGGAGACTCGAAGACCCTGATGTTTGTGAACGTTTCACCCGATCCATCATCCGTGGGTGAGTCTTTATGCTCGTTACGATTTGCAGCAAGGGTGAATTCTTGCGAGATTGGGATCCCACGACGTCAAACCATCCGACCACTCGAGAAAGATTCTCGAATGAGTTACGGATAAGCATTCAGTAGATGTATTTGCCAAAAGGTTCATATGCCTAATGACATTACTAAGTATTTGTTTGTTTGGATTGAGTGCGAAAATGTGTGGTTTTAACAAGAGAAGGAGTTTGGGAATTTGGTTTGTGTAATTTGCTGTAACTGATGTAGGTTAGTAGTATTCTGGCTTCATCCATTTGTAATATTCACATATGAATGAATGATTAAATGGTAATACCTGATTTTACCTTCTTATGGTTTTATTTATATGAATAAAAAAGAAATTAAAAAAAGAGTTTTTGTTTAAATAATTTTTTGATTCTTTTTAAATTTTAATTATGTTTTGTCATGACTGTAAGAAATTAGTCTTGATAAAATCGGTCGCTTTTTTTTTTGTATGTCTGAATCAAATTTTGGACAAATAGTATATTCTAGCACATGTTTAATTAAATTTTATTTTTTGGACGTATAATATATAACACACATATATATATATATATATATATATATATGGTATATTTCAAATGCAACTTTATTCATTTGTACAACCATTGTAATCTAATAAATTGAGATATTTATAGAAATGATGAGAGTTTATATATTATGATTTAAATATTTATGCAAGACGAATAAGGTTCATTAATTATGATCATCAATACTTTATATTAACAAACAATCAAAACTTTTATAAAATCTCATATTCATCAAATTAAATGGACGGTTGAGATTGAGTTGTATTGGTTGTATAAACGTAAATAGTTGTATAATAACCCACCTCTCTCTCTCTCTCTCTCTCTCTCTATATATATATATATATATATATAGGGGTCTAATCAAATGAGAACTAATTAGTTTGTGGTAACTGTGAGAACCAATATTAACCACAAATCAATAGATAAATTAGGAAATTTATAATTTTGGCAATTTTGAATTAAAATATTAATGTTAGGATATTTTTGGTATTTTAAAACTTTCCTCCCTCCTCTTTTCTCTCTCCGGCCACCGTCCTCCGGTGATACTACAATGGTATCACAATGCATCAYATATGTGCTTGGGTATCACATTGATGTCGTTTGTGTGGTCGATCGAAGATGTAACACAGTGGTATCACTATGCATCTTATATATGATTAGGTATCACAATGTATCTTTTGTTTAACAGAGTCAATATTTTTAGGTATCACAGTGGTATCACCGGAGGACGGTGGCCGGAGCCCGGAGAATGGTGGCCGGAGAGAGAAGAGAGGAGAGAGAAGAGTTTTAAAATACCAAAAATATCCTTGCATTAAGATTTTAATTTAAAATTACCAAATTTATAAATTTCCTAATTTATCTATTGATTTGTGGTTAATATTGGTTMTCACAGTTACCACATACAACTCAGTTCTCCCTTGAATAGACACACACATATATATATATATATATATATATATATATATATACACATATATATAGGGTATATTTCAAATACAACTATGTCCATTTGTACAACCAATACAACCCAATTAATTAAGATATTTATAGAAATGATGAGAGTTTATTTATTATGATTTGAATATTTATAGAAGATGAATAAAATTCATTAATTATTGATTAATACTTTATGTTAGAAAACAATCAAAACTTCTATGAAATCACATATTCATCAAATTAAATGGACGGTTGAGATTGAGTTGTATTGGTTGTACAAATTTAAAGGGTTGTATAATAACCAACCTCTACATGTGTTAAACAGGGTCTTCAATTTTTTTGTCAATCTTGACTAATTCTAGGATCCAGTAGAACAGACACAAAAATATTGAGTGGTTTTGTTGACCTTTAAGAAAAATCCTTTAAAGGCCCAAGCCTTATTGTCAGTTGAACTAACTCTACAAGATCTTTTTGATTACTATGAAGCCATTTTCATTTAATTGGCAGAAGATAATGAACTTATTTAAAATCGTATTTAAAGTTATATACTTATTCGACCTTTGGGTTATTTAGTTAAATTATCTCATAATCAAATACTTTTTTTTAACTCCATGACCTTATAACTATTTTTTTGTACATTTTTTTTATGAAATCGACAATCTTCTATTAAGTAGAAACATTTTCAAACCTTAAAAATATATATATATATATATATATATTACAAATTTCTATTATATATAAAACAAAAAGAATAAAAATATAACCACAAGGGTGGTGCCTGATTGGTTTGAGTTTGACTCTAAAGTTCAAAAGTACCACGAGGTCCCAGGTTTAAATCCAAGGAGAAATAAAAATCCCTTTGTGGCCACAGGGAGGTTCAAATGTGGTGGTTCCAGACTATCTGCAAAGCAGATGGTCATCTTGAGATTAGTCAGATCGCATAACGGGTTGAATAACCAGATTAATAAAAAAAAAGAATAAAAAATATGATTAAGGAGTTTTCTAACCCCACCCCCTCCTAACAAATTTATCTACCCCCTCCTATGTTAATGGACAAAAAACAACTAAATGACAAATCTAAAATATTTACATTTTTAACTTTTTTATATTTTAACTTTTAACCCTAACCTTTTTTATATTCTAACTTTTAACCCTTTACATTTTTTACATGTTTTATAATGACATCTTTTATATTTTTAATTTGTATTATAATTATATAATTAAATTAATTTTATATTATTATTAATTAATAAAATATTAATAATACATATTTCAAATATAAATTAAATTTATTAATTTAAAACTTCGATTTTTCATGTTAAATCAACATATTCACGAGTAAGAGTACGTTCTATATATTCTTCATATGCATTGAATCTATGTTGATACGGGACAATCCATGTACTTGCATCTTCAAAACGATAACATGTCCAATGGTGCGTAAGTGTGGGCATTGGATATTCTCCATTTAATACCACCTTTATGTAATGGTTACCATTAACATGCACTATTGCAATTGCCACATGTTGAGATGACGATGGAGGTTGTGTCCTAAAAGGTAAGTATGTCACACTACCTGCCATATTGAGAACATGCAGTATGACATTGAACCTTGAAGCCGTTAGAATGCCCATTTCAGGCATAACAATCCAATGCGCAGCTGGTGCGAAGACGCCTTTTTGGAAAAAATTTAGCGCTTCGTGAATGCGTAAGCACTCATTGCCAATCACATAAGAGTAATATTGTCCATACTCAGTTAGTTCAATCATTAACTCTTTGCGGATATTGTCCCATTCGTCTTCATGACCACCCAGACAAGTAGATATCACTCGAAATCCACAATTTCCATCGCCTAATACATCTTGTATTTGTATGATGTATGGATGAAATAAACTCGGGATTTGATCAAGATACGGATGTCGGGKGGTGGGTTGTCGTTGGAAATAGGAACTATGCCTCGYTGATTYTTGATGCCCCAAATCTTCAGAGTTAATAATTGATGGCACGTTAGAACAACTACGTCTACGGTCTTCAATAATTCTTTTATTCAAAGCTTGACTCTTTGTAGATGGACGACCACGAGTGGTTCTATGAACCGAGGGTTCATCGAACGGTTTTGATGACATTATTATATCCTTCAACTTTCTGAGTAAGCTTTTACGACCATGATACAACTACTTATTGAATTTTTCTTTGAACAATTGAACTTCAACATCACATCCAATCTCGTCATCTTGTGTGGACACACATGGTGAAAAATCAAGTTTTTTCCAAAATATATCGATTGCATCAAGTGGAATGGGTATGCCTTGACATGTATACAGTGCTTGTTCATGAGCACAAGGCAACCCATGACTTCTACGCAATTTACAACCACAATTTTCAGAAAATACGCTAGTTTGGAAAGACCGTTTATTTTCAGTGGAAATCATATCAAGTGCATGAAATGAAACAAATCCCCACAAATTTTGAAAGTGTGAGTTTCCAAATCGGTGTTTCCTAACGTTCTACATTGTTCAAAACTTGCTTTAATCGATGTGTCCTGTGACTGGATTACTTGATGGATGTGAGATAAAATTCTTTGTAAGTCTGCTCGGGAAGTTTCCAAAAATAATTTTAGTTTGGAATGTTGGCTTTCAACTCTGTTAGTTGTGTGATTTCCAAAGTTTAAAACCTGATCAATCCAAGCAGATACAAACATTTCTTTATATGGTGTCAACCATACATTGTTCAGGTAATTCATATGTCAATATCTTTATTAACAATGATTAAACTATCTTATATCAAGAATACCTGGATAGACGAGCAGATTTTCTTGAAGTTGTCCCAAGTTGTACGTGTACCATTCCTGATTTTGAGATTCAAGTAATTGCAACCATAATTGACAAAAAAGTACTCCATGAGTGCGACTCGTGAATCGATGGTCTACAATGTTTCAAAATATTTTGAAAGGTTTGCCATCTACAGAGTAACTGTTTAGCACCCGGAAATACCACTCTGCATGCTTTAATCAAAGCCAACTCTCTGTCTGTGACTATGACAGCTGGGTAAAAGTTATCGCATATTTTGGATTTTAGACAATCTAACGCCCAAGTATAATTTGATATCTTTTCTTGATGCATGAAAACAAATGCTATGCAAAATGTCAGGTTGGTCGATGTTACACCAACTATCTCAAGAAGAGGCATGTCGTACCTGAATAATAAATTAACAAAATAATGAGTTGGGCTTGACATGTTGGGCTTGACATGTTGGGCTGATAGATCTTCAACTAGTTGAGCTTCAGTTTCATTCAGCCGCATTATATATGCATGACCTTCCATATATTATGCAAGAACATGATTATGTGCATCGCATACCACCATCAACGTCCACCAACTATGTTTAGCCGAAAATAGCGCTATCAACTCAAATGGACATCCAATTTTTTTTGTTCCCGTATGACGAATGAGAATTTTTTTTGTAAGCTCCGCCGTGTTCACACATAAACACAACTTTATAGACATTCCCATTTGGCTTTGCCTTTGATCTTTTCGTAACAACAACACAACTAACTGAATGCCCCACATTGTGCACCCACTCAGTTATTTCTTCCCGAGAATTGAACACCTGAAAAAAAAATTATAACTTTCATTTATACAAGTAAGTATTAATAAACCTAAATATCAATTAACATAATATTGTACCTCGTTGGTGAAAAATTCTGGTGTTGTTATCAAATCTTCTCCCATATTTGATGTATATTGAAGAATGAGAGAGTTATATATTGAAGAAGAATGAGAGAGTTATATAAGAGAGTTATATATTGAAGAAGAATGAGAGAGTTATATAAGAGAGTTATATAAGATAGTGAAATATCGAATGAACTATTCATTCGTTCGTTCGATATATATATCGATTTTTTTTACTTTATTTCAAATCAATAACTTTACTTTATTTCAAATCAATAACTTTACTTTATTTCAAATCAGTAACTTTACTTTATTTCAAATCAATAACTTTACTTTATTTCAAATCAATAACTTTACTTTATTTCAAATCAGTAACTTTACTTTATTTCAAATCAAATTATTTTTACAATTATGTAAACGTGTACACATGTTAAAACGTATATTCCTAACGTATTTTGTACTTAATGTCGATATTATTGTTCATAATGTAACATGTTACTTGAT